AAGAAGGCGCAAAAAAAGATAGATAGAAATCGGTTGACTCCGCCAAACTGGAGAATCGTAGAATATGAGGTCAGTCAAAACGTTCTAAGCTTTTCCGCTCATTCTTCTATTCAACGATCTCCAGCCCTCGGAACCTTCAGTAGCAAAGCATGAACGCAGCCTAAATCGTCACTCTAACAATAAAATGCTAGACGTAGAACAAAATGAGCGCATTCTCTGGAATTCTTTTCCATTAGGTTCTAATCGTAGGGCCTAATTACTCCATTAGTTTAGTTTATAGTTTCAGATGCGTGTTCACCCTGATGTTGGTACAAACGCTGGAGGGACTAAATGTGCTCAAGACCGTTCTCGCTGGAAATCAAATGGCTCAGGCAATGATAACTTCTGCAACAAGCTGTCTGATCACGTATTTTCTTCCATCGCTGGCCGGTCAACATTTTCACTGTTCGAGCCCAGCGTACAGGATCAGGTTAGGTTTATGCTGGAAAACTTTGTTGTTATGCACTCGCCAAAAAGGCTTAAATTTATACTTGTTTTTTTGCGCCTATGTTCTGCAGCGTACATCGCCCTTAATGAGTTCTTAGGAAGGTGATGGTTTTTCAGTCGCTTGGAGCACATTTGATTCTCTGAGAGTTTTACCATAGATCCAACACTGGAGATTAGAATAATCAGAATCTAGTATTATAGTAGAATGCACACCAAGGAAAAGCATAAAGTTTAATGGGGCGAATCAGAAGAAGGGTAGCGTCGGATAAGACGCGAGTCGGGAGGTTGCGCGTTAAAGAAGTATATGGAAATAAATCGTCACTTCGATATATACTTTACTTGGGCGGCATTTTCCAATGTTCTGATCTTTCTCTATATCGCAAACTAGTTCTGATGTATGTCCCTCGCCATAACCCAAATGGTGATGTAGTACTAACCCTCTTGGTTGAGCAGGTTCGCCAAATGGGGGAGGGGAGGGGGCGAGAACAATAACGATTTTTCGTAAGGGCGCATGGGCTGCACAAAAGAATTTAGCGTGAAGGTTGAATAGCATTGCAAGTCGGCTGCGGAATCACACCATATTGACGACGCGCTCTACCTGGAAAACAAACCCAGTTTTCCAAGAACAGGCCGGATTTTAATCAATATTATTTTCTACGTGGGCAGATTTGGCTGAGAGTTGGATTCTAGAGGTAACCTCCTGAACACGAACATCACACCCACTTGGCCTGACCTAGGGTATTTCAGCGCCAGCGCCAAAATACCCTAGGTCACTAAATCCGCTGAAAACTTGTATAAGAAGACCATTTAACATCTTGATTGCATATATCACATTCATTTTTGGCGCTGGCGCTGATGGAAGACGCTGTGATTGTCTGCGCTCTGGTATGGCTGGCCTGACCTGAAGGAAAAACACTCTTTCTCAGACGCTCAGCCCTAGAAGTGTTAAAATCAAAGCTGGAGTAATGTCCCACAATTCACACGAATTTGGTGGGAAGTGCCGGCGCAAACTGCGCAGCATTGGGGCGCCCAGCGCCCAAACGAGTGCTATATTCGTGATTAGGACACTGAACTATCTCTGTGGGCGAGGTTTCACCAAAAAAATTTTTTGTCTTTTTGGGGTAGTAATAGTTGAATAGTGCCATTTTATGGTTTCTTCGGTTTCAGCAAACAAGTGTTGATTCATGACTCTAAATTCCCCGCTTTCAAACTTCTCGTTACAAGGAAGATGGGCTCATCATTACATGGAAAAGTTAAGACTAAGCACAGGAAAACAAAAATCATAGAGAAGTTAGTTTCGAACCGCAAACGAAACTGCCTTCTCCTCTCAGCTTAATGAGAATTTCAATTTTTTTTGACAGAAAAAGGTCTGCTTTTTCCCAACACTAGTTTAGTTCGACTTCCTGCAGTGCATTATACCCTGAAATAAGTTCACGCTCTGTTATCGGCAGCTGAAACCATAGTCGGCAATCATGCTACGACCGCGTTTTTCAGGTAACCCCCCCCCGCGCGTCATATGGTGCAAGTCCGCGTGGTCAAGACTCTTTGCACATGCCACTAAACTCAACGCCTAAACTCTCTCTCTGTGAGCCTCTTGCGCCTCATCGCATACTCGTTATTGGAGGGGAGCGATGATAATGAGGTCGCGTTCAGCGACCAGTGTTCCCTTCACCATAACTCACCTCACTGGTGTTTTGTGCTGGGAGCTCAACTCCAATTAATTTTTAAAAAGATCGCGGTATCTATATTCTTTCTTAATATAAAAATTCTCAAATTGCTACATAGAAACTTTTACTCCGAATGTTATCACAAGAACGCCTTTTATGGGCATGGGTGGAGCTCAGGCGCGAATCGAAAGTTTAACTTGGTGACGTGTGAGTGCTGTAAGGCTACGGCATAAAAGCCGTCGAGCTGAGAGGGTAAAAGCGGCCCTGTGGCGTAACGGATAGCGCACTCGCCCGGAAAGCGTGAGGTGCAGGTTCGACTCCGCGCCTGAGGTTCAACTTTTGCCCATGCATTCTTGTGATAACATTGGGAACGCGAACTGCGGCGTTAAACAGCAGTTATCATAACAAAACAACTTTTATTCCATCATGAAGACTTCCATTAATGTGGAACACTTTTCAGGTTTTGTAACAGCGATTCGTGCAGTTCAAAGACATCATGCGCGCTACTAGAAACGGCCCAAAATAACGGCTTTGAACGGCTTCGGAAGAAGCGTGCAACTACAGTCCTCACCTCCGGCGACGCAACCGTTTACCAGCTGTTTATGTGACACGATAGCGTGAATTTCTTGACAAAGCAGGTGGACGCATTCAATACAGAAGCATAGAAAACTAAACGGCTTGCATATAGTAGGATCGTTTTCGATACTCGCTGAATGTTGGCTTTTTCTTAGCCTACTTTCGATTTCCTCAAATTTCGCGTCGCTTCGGGTTTTGCACGATGTTTGTACATGTTTATTGTTGATACATGTGCTCATTTAATAAATCAGTTTTCAACATTATGTTCTGTCCAGACTTCTTCACTTTTTGTGGTTTGTACTATTGCTCATTCATTATTATAAAAGTGATTCAAATAATATCAGTAGCTGGATGAGATCACCGCAGTCATTGCTCCTGTTGTTCAAAAGGAGGCACTCCTATATCACAACACCGATTTTTTACGCCAATGCCGGTGGGTAATTCCTCTTACTGCTCCGTCGGTGAAGCCCTAAATTCAGAGATAAACAGATTTTACTTGAAGCACCTCACATTGGACATCTTTACACCGCTGTCCTGTCAGACGCTGCTAGTCGTTGGCAGAAGTTGAGAGATCCGGACGGCGTCCATACATTTGTCTCAGGCACTGATGAACATGGAATCAAGGTGATGTTTCCTGCATGTTAATCTTCTTAACACTAACACAGGTTGAGGGGCACGAGGCTGTGGCGACTCTAGTCCTTTACATCGTTGTACTGCTGTCCCTGAGAGAACGAGAGTCCCTTATCCTAAGAAGAGGGTGAGTGCGAACGACCAGAGTCGCCGTGGCCTATTTAGGCCCCTCTAGCGCTGAGACCTATTTTTTCATCTTTTTTCCGAGTGTAAGCAGCGTTCCTATGATGTTTGAGGACTGGCTAGTTAGTTGAATAGATGCAGTGCAAAATTTGGACCTCATTAATTCAACATTACTTTTGAAGATTTTCCGTGCTGCTCAGAAAGCGAAGAAAGATCCTCTGAGTTTCTGCGATGAAAGTTCAAAGAGCTTCCGGAAACTATTCGATAGATTCGGTATCCATACCACAGATTTTATTCGGACTACGGAGGATCGCCACAAACGGTGTGTGGAATATGTCTGGGTAGGTTTACTGTGAGATCATTACAATGAGCAATTTATTTATGTGAATTCAGAAGAGGCTATATGATCAAGATTTCATCTACAAAGATACCTACTCAGGTTGGTATAGTGCTGTGGACGAGTGTTTCTTCTCTGAAAACGAAGTTGAAGATTCGCCAATAGGAAAGGTTCATTTTGCTTTGTGACAATGTTTGAAAGTGTGTAATGAGGAACAACTTTACAACCAGTTATTTTCAATTTACTGGGAAACCACTCGATGTGCATGTGGGAATCGAGACGATTCGAGCTATTCTTACAAATCTTGGTTAAAATTTACTGTTGGATAACTCGATGTGCATGTAGGAAATCGAAGACGATTCGAGCTATTCTTACAAATCTTGGTAGGACTAGGAGTAGCTGCCAGTAAAGTTCGCCATACAAATGCTCAAAAATAGTTGCACAACTAGCTGAGTGGTTGTGGCTCACTTCAGTACCTAGGCAGCATATTTTGCAGCAGCCTGCTCCAAATTAAAGTGCCAGAGCTATGTGATTAGGAAGGAATCGGATTTTTTATGTTGATGTTCTCCTGTAACCACTGATTCTGTCCAAAAATGTCCTGTAATCACCTGTAGAGATAATAACATATAACGGCAAAAATCATAGAGGAGGGTGGACCCGTTGTTTCTCGTCCAGATTGCGCTGCTTCGAGCGTACGATGCATCTCATCTATGCCAAGCAAACCTTCCGAGGCCGGCAAATTACTCTGTGGTTTGTCTTGCAGGATAAAAGCACTAATTTATGCATCGTCTGGCCTCCGCGATTCATTGCATGGTTCAGCATTCATGACACACTGCAATTCTGTGTGGCTGTAGAACGCGTGGCAATTCCCATTACGGATGATCTACACAGAAACTTAACCCTTCATCCTTGTGTTGTCCCTTACGATTACTCAAATGAAATCATATTGCGTTTTTCCACCGTATACACTGACTAATCTGATCGATTTATTCAGATTGTGAAAGGCACGAATCATGTCGTTGAGTGGGTCGAAGAGCACAACTATATGTTCCGGCTATCGAATCTCAAAGATGAAGTGAGGCGGTGGCTCATGAATTCAGGTAAGGTCAAGGTGATAGACGTTTATTTCACGTAGGTACAACGCTAACTTTTGCTGAAGGGCAGAGCCCGCGACCACAGATGGTGGGTTGTGAAGCTCATTTACGAACCGACAAGGTGCTAGGTAACCGTTCAGTGAAAAAAAGCAGAAAAAATGATATCACAACGATATCAGCTGTTTTCCCTTATCACCTCACTTTCACTATTCGGAATGTAGAAAGCTAGCAGAGCGGCTACTAGATAGTAGGTAGCCATTGGGGGTTGGCATGAGCCTAACTGTTCAGCTTTCACCGCAATTCTCGCAATTTTTTTGAATGTAGCAGAGCCTCTACAATAGCCTATCCGATCATCTGACACATTTGAGAAGGTATAGCCTTAGCTTATCGCGGGACTGCCTTTAGTGCAACAGTTCGCGCTCCAAAAGTTCTAACAAGAATGCTTAGTTTTGGGCGAAAGTCTCGACCTCAGGGGGAAATTGAAACATAAGGTGCTAGTTCGAGTTCCGCCTGAGCTGTAGACTTGGGCCCCGTAACTGATTGAAGATGTCTCGTGATAAGCATTATCCAGTAATTAGAGACTAGAAGCGATTCTTCCATTTGGGAATATTTAATAGTAAGATAATTTTGAGATGCTAAGTCGTAAGTGATATACGGAAAGTACGACTGTCTCGTAGAATGCTGAATTGAAAACGGTTTTCCAGACGTTATCCAACCAAAGCACTATCTACCACACGCATTGAATTGCCTTCGCATACGAGGGTGATTTGTCAATATCCCGTGACCGGTCAAGACTTCCATGGGGAATTCCAGCTCCCGGCGACGATACGCAGACTGTGAGTAGAGCCTGAAAGCATAAACACTCGAAATTATGGGTGTATCATATGTATTCTATAGATATATGTTTGGATGGATGCTTTGATGAATTACCTATCTGTTGTTGGCTACCCTGATACATTGAAGGCATGGCCACCCTCATGCCAAGTTATTGGAAAAGACATATTGAAGTGAGCTATAACTGTTATTTATTGTCATTAATGTTCTCAAAAGATGGAAATGGAAATGAAGGAGCCATCGATTCTTATAGGTTTCACTCATT